AATGTGATATTCGTTAATAGTAGTTATCAATAATGTTAATATAATGTATAAGTATAAACAGTTTTATAAGAAACCGTTCGATATATAGAGGCAACGTGAACTTCTGTAAAAATATTACAGCAAGACCCGAAACAAGATTGCGATATGATGTACGACACTGCTGAATACATGTACCTAGTAGAATTGTGAATGACACAATTTAAACTTTATATTGTTGTATGAAAATGCACAACAGTAATTCAGCTAGGATTTTACATGTTTTGTGACCATTGATTATAAAAAACATAGACGAAAACATATTCTACGTTACCTTATAAGACTCAGAAATGCTGTCACTTTATCCAAAATAGACTATAAAGCCTCCTTATTTCACTCAACTTTCCCTTCACCATAAACTCTTCTTTATTCATCAGCCATTTTGTGATTTTTGAATATATATAGACAAGTAACAGAGGATCATGGAAATTCCTGTCTGTGGTGCACTTCTGGCGACATTCTGGTGATATGAAAAGTGCGCCAGAACATCACCAGAATGTCCCATCTAGCGGCGATGTTTTGTGCACTTCTAGCAACATGTTCTGGCGAACTGATTTAAGCCGGAGGACCTGACGACATCAAATCCGTGTTATTGAAGGAACTTGCAGATGGAGTTGCACCCATACTTACCATCATCTTCCGTAACTCACTAAGTACTGGAGAGGTGCCAACAGATTGGAGATTTGCCCGTATAACACTAGCTTCAAAAAAGGTCAACAGTACGTACCATCAAACTACGGACATATATCCTTGACGTGCCTGTGCTGTAAACTGATGGATCACATTGTCACGAACCACATAATGAAACATGCAGAGGAACATAACATCCTGTACCCTTTACAACACGGCTTCAGAAATAAACGATCCTGAGAAACACAGCTCCTAGAGTGTATAGATGACATCACAAAAAACCTGGAGATTGGAAAACAAACAGATCTGCTAGTTCTCGACTTCTCGATAAAGTCTCACACAACTTAATACTCCACAAACTATACCACTATGGTATAAGAGAGAACACGTTACGCTGGATAGAGGGTTTCCTAAGTAACAGAAGGCAGGTTGTTGCTGTAGAGGGTGAAATGTCAGATGAGGCCAGCGTTGACTCTGGGTCCCTCAGGGCTCAGTACTTGGGCCGAGCCTTTTCCTCTTCTACATCAACGACATAACATCTACCCTCAACTCCACTGTTCGTTTGTTTGCTGATGACATCGTAGCCTACCTCACCATAAATTCGGACCACGACTGCAAACTTCTTCAAAACGACATGGATAAACTGACAACCTGGGAACAAAATTGGAAACTGAGCAACTCACGTCAACATCATATGTAATAAAGCCAGCACTTGGTTTTCTCAGACGAAACATCCACATATCCTCTAGGAACATATACAAGTCACTAGTCAGGCCACAACTCGAATATGCAGCCACCGTATGGGACACATACCAACGGGGACATATAGACCAGCTAGACAAAATACAGAGAAGAGCAGCAAGATATATGTAATGGGCAATATACAGAAACAGATCGAGTGTTGGAGAGATGATAGAACAGTTGCAGCGGCCCAGATTACAAGAACGTAGAAAAGAAGCACGCTTGTCTATGATGTATAAGATCATGAACAACAAAGTAGACATTGACCACCAAAAGTACTTCAGCAAGTCAACATCAAGGCATTCACACCAACACAGTCTGGCAATTCCATCAACAAACAAAGATTGCAGAAAATGGTCATTCTTTGTAAATACAGTGAGGGACTGGAACAGCCTGCCACCTGATATTGCCTCAGCAACATCACTTGAGATATCGACTAAATCCTTTCCACTGTTTTTATCCAGTTTTTAATCTGATTTTTAAACTTTTAATATTAATGTGCGCACATACAAACTGGCATAACTGTTAGTACATCCGGATGCAGCGCAGTATCCCATGGCGTAATATGTAGGCTGTTTCAAGCTATAATACTTATTATTATTTTAATTGATTTTGAGCTGACTCTGATTGGCTGAAACAACATCATGTGACCACATGTAAAAGTAGTTATAAACCTGAGTGGTTTGCAGGTTTTCAAAAAAGTTGGTAGAACAAGTGTTATTAACCTGCTATAAATAGATTCTGGAACAGGTGTTCAAAACAATTGGTAGAAAAGGTGTTATTAACCTGCTATAAATAGATTCTGGAATTTTTGTGAAGTTATTTAAAAATTTGTGAAGTTAATTTTCTGATTTTTTTGTTAAGTTGAAAACAAAAATGTTAAACTATATTTTTTTTACATTTTTTACTTCAATTTTGAAAAAATAAATTAAAATAATAAATCTACCTCATCACCATGCTATAATTGTATAATGCAGGTTGACAAATAATGATAAACTACAAAATATGTAAATGAAATAGGCGTGACAAACCGAAGCCTTTTTTCACTGTAGGCGTGTCTCTATGTGAATAGCAGCTGTCGCCTCTTAACGCGTGCCACTGTGACGTCACGTATCACGAGACCTCGTTTATGCATATTTGCTAGACTGATACAAGATACAAGAAACTTTATTTAACGTCGCATATATCAAACAGAGAAACATTAGCGCTGTGGCGCTATTTTTGCGACAAACATGATAAAAAAGCAAACAGAAAACAACAAATCAAGCTATACACTATCACAGAAAGCTAGCACATAATCAGCGAGTAAAACATACAATAACATAGCAGCATATAAATAGCTATCACAGGCACTAAATTTAAAGTACTATAAGTGTAATGTACATACATGCTAATATAGCAAAAGAGTAAAAATTGACATAATACACACTAATATAGTGTAAATTAAAATAGGACGACAACGTCTAGTAAGTAAAAGATATTGAGCTATAATGATGATTAGAAGAGAGGGCTAGAAACTATGCTGCCAGTTATTGGTATATCAAAGCGCCATGCAAATCAGAAGTTAAGCTAAATAGGTAGGTAAATAAATAAAGCAGGTAACTAGTAATACAGACTAAAGCACTGAAAAAACATTAAAACTCTAGTCACGGGTACAGATACGACATGAGCAAACGGGGCCATCCCAGGAGTGCAGCAGTCTGGCAAACTCTGGATAACTATCCACCTTCCTCAAATGGTTTGGCAGACTGTTCCACACCCGGGCGGCCTCGTAGCAAAAAGACTTCAGTCCATACCTGGTTGTTCTTACTCTTCGTAGCTCCAGCTGCCTTTCATTCCTGAAGTTATACAAAGACGATTTCATGGTTAAAAGATAACATAAATAATCCGGAGCTATATTGGTAATAATTTTAAAAACTTCACAAGCCATGGTTTTCATTCTGTTTAAATGAAGAAAAGATAAATTTGCTTTTTCTAAAAGTTCTAAAACAGGTGTTGTGTAGTCATCCTCAATAAAACGAATGGCTCTTCCCTGTATCTTCTCCATCTTCCTTGTGGAATTTAAACCGCAGAAATGCCATGCCAGGTGACAATAATTAAAATTTGAAAGAATAAAAGATTTATAAATCAAAATTTCCCCCTGCTTGCTTAGATTGCAGCCAATCCGTTTTAAGACACATAACTGTTTGGATGCTTTCTTGCAAATGTTTGACACATAAAAGTCAAACTTTAAGTTAAAATCAATGTCAACACCCAAAAGTTTAACAACATCTTCACATTTTATAACATGGTCTTTAACAGTATAGGAAGATATAATATTGTGAGTTTTCTTCCCAATGGATATAGCCTGAAATTTGTCAGGATTGGCCTTCATACCATTATCCTCGAACCATTTGATTAAAATATTACTCCCCCCTTCGAGTGTATTCTTTAATTGAAAGGGGTCAGAGTCAATATGCGACAGTGTGTTATCATCATCATAATTATAAAGGGTACCCTTATGAACAAAATAAAAGATGTCATTTATCAAAATATTAAAAATTAAAGGTCCTAAAATAGATCCCTGAGGTACCCCCCTCTCCAACTGCTCCCAGTCAAAGACATTGGACCCCTGCCTAGTCCGCTGAAATCTGCCCCGAGATAGCTACTGATGAGACCGACTGCGGCCTCGTCCAACCCATAATCAGTCAGCTTCTCGAGCAGCAGCCCGTGAGGAATACAGTCGAAGGCCTTGGAGAGATCCATGAGGATAGCACCTACAAACTTGTTCTCATCCCATGAAGGCCATGCGCCAATCCTCAAGGAGACACAGCAGGGTAGACTGGCATCCATATCCATTTCTGAAAGCAGCCAGAAAAGGATTAAATATATGATTAATTACATGTAAATTCTCTCAAAAATCTTTGAAGTAGATGGTAAAATACTGACAGGTCTATAATTCTGTTTGTCAAGTGGATCCTTCTTTTTAAAAATTGGAACAACCTGTGCCAGCTTTAAATTATGAGGAAAAGACTTGGATTCAAGGCAATGATTAAATAAAGGGGCAAAGGTAGAGCCTAAGGAAGAAGAACCTGCCTTAAGAACCTTAGCAGAAATATCATCAACACCTACAGACTTTTTACAATCAAGCTTACAGATAATCTTTGCTACACTATCTGCATTGACTGAATTGTAGTAACACCGTTTGATTTTACTTTGTTAGATAGAAAAGGCTTCACTGTGGGCCAGAAATCCTTAGACTTGGCATCACCTGCACATCTCTCGAAAAAATATTTTCTTATTATAGGCTGCCTCCGCAACTTAACTTGACATTCCGGCGTTATTGATCTAGATGGGCGTTATTGATCTAGATGGGGCGTCATTGGCCTGTCTATCGTGGCCAAAACCCTTTAATGAAATATTATGAAAAGAGGTTCGTAATATTCATGCCCGGATATATCATACTGAGGTTCTTGTTGAGTTGCTGTATAAATTTGGCATAATATATAAAAACGCCATATTTAAAAAAAAAATCGATTCGAGTCCTAATCCGGAAATAGATCCTAATGTTGGTTTCAATATTATAATAGTATATATGGAACATGCGCATGCCCGATTGTCAACTTTCCATGGCGGCGTAAAACCACGAGGACAGGGTATAGACATGTTCTAGTTGCGAATTCCGAGCAAAGTACATTACAAACCTCTCTGAAAATCAATCAACTTAAATAATGGGTAACGTTTACGCTGCTGCGCCCCCTCCTTCGACCAACATGGCTCTTTCTCCCCCTACTTTGCCTCCTCCGCAAGCGGCCGGTTCACCCGGGGAAGTCGCTCAGCAGCCTCCGTCAAATGCAGACGATAACAATCCTGGCACCTATGAAGACCTTCACAAAAAATGCAAAGGTAATGCATTGTACAATTATTTTGGTGTGTTATGAACCTGGTAAACGACTTTTTTTAATTTTCTCTCTCGAAAATAAACATCACTCTTAGTCTTGGGGTTACGTTTTGTGTCAAGGGCAAATGTAGGCCAGCTCTAAAATGTATGTCGTCATGCTCTCGAATCAAACAGCATGCACCCGTGTTATATGTGCAAATCTGTTGGCTTTCCTTCAAATTTGATATTGACAAATGAAATTCACAATTAAAACCATGAGCCCATCAGGTACTGGAGCACCTAGCTACGCTAATCTGGCTATGTCGAGGTATTATATAACACAAGAAATGTTTTCAAATTGCATCGGTTAACCTCGAATATGTCAAGTCCCTGTGTCACAACACAATTAAAAACTTGTTTCTTTTTAGTTGTGCTCGGATGGAAGCTGCGAGTTAGAAATATGAATTTTAGTTTTATGTTTTAACTCTTCATACCTTGACTGATAACAATATATTATTTTTGCAGAATTATTCCCACAGAATTTTGAAGGAGGAAAACTTATAATATCTAAGAGTCTTAGTAGCCATTTCCAAGTCAGTCACACAATCAACATGAGTGGGACGAATCCAGCATTGTCAGGGTACAGATTTGGAACGACGTACATAGGATCAAAGCAGCTTAGTCCATCAGAGGTGGGTTACATCGTCCTGGTCTTAACTCATTCACCCGTACATCATCCTTGATATCCACGGGTTATGCTCACTTTCGCTCTCTACACCCCGGGTATATGTCATAGAAAAAATGAAGGCTCAATGTTCAGCATCTTGTTGGTGAGACGAGAAGACTAGTTTGGTCCTTTGATGTACATCAAAAGAAACTTGCGGCCAGGTAAAGGTAAAAAATGACAAACTTTCAAGCCGGAACGGCTCCTTTGTAATCTTCAAAGGACACGTATCAGCCAAGCGATTGGTCAGGTGTTTTTACCTGAGACCAATCAAATAGCTTGCTGCGTGCCTTCATTTTTGCTATGACATATTCAAGGGGTGTAGAGAGCGAAAGTGAGCGTAACCCCTGGATATCGGGGATGCCCTACACATTTAAACTGGACTTGCCTGGTCTTTGATTTGTTTTTCAAGATATAACATGTTTAATAAATGTCCAATTGAAATATAGACATTATGTTATATCTTGAAAACTCTAAATGGTGTGTTATGAACCTGGTAAATGACTTTTTTTTCTCTCACTCGAGAATTTTAATTTGTTAAAATTTATTAACAAATTTTTTGCTGATAAAATTTTCAAAAATTTTGACCCGTAAAAAAGTGCTCAGATATTGATCCTAGTAATATGTTTGTTGATAACATTTTTGCCAGTGAAATATTAGATTCTATCAACTTGATATAACTGATATCTTTAACAACGTGACAAACTCTATTTATTGTATGGCATCAAATTTGATTCATATTCCGCTTATGAAAAAATCCTGTCATTGAGACTGAAATAACACCCTGTATCAGTGGCAATTAACATGTCTATAAACTTTTTCTCATCATTTGTATTTTTATGTCTTTACTGTTATTGTTTCAGGTGTATCCCGTTATTATAGGGGATGTAGATGCAAGTGGAAACCTTAATGCCAACATCATTCATGCATTTTCTCAACGACTTAGATCAAAACTTGTTTCACAGGTAAATTCATAAGTTTGCAGGGATCATCCTGGAGGGGTCCCCAGGGCTATTGCCCCCTCATAACTGATATTGACCATCTTCCAATTTTCTTTAATTTTACATAGAATGGCCCGGCCCCTCTTAATTTTGATATTAACTAAAGATTGCTGAAAAGGCCCACTGCTCTCAAATTCCAGGATTTTCTCTGATTAATTTCATAGCTGTCAACCCTCCCTCATAAGGAGGGAGACTCGCTCATTTTGACCAAAATTTATAAATCGGCAGTGACAACATGGACCGGGGAAAATCAATCGTTGAACTTGACAGAAAATAAAAACAAAATAGAACCAAGACAGATATTCGTGTTGTAGTACATTTTTATTTCATTTGGGGAATTTTTAACTGAAACGGGAAAATAATGTTGACTTGTAGAAGGCAACTGGCCCATAATCGGCCATAAAAAAGGCCTGTATATATCCATGAAGTCCCATCTCGCACAAACTGGAAATCTACATCCTGTAGTCAAATGAATCTAATGAATCCTTTTTAGAGTTATTTTGATACATAAAAAGGGAAAGATAAAGTGAGCAAAGCAGTTTCAGTCAGGTTTCATGCACTTCCTCCCTCAGATCTCCTTCTTTGGAGGTTACAGAGGTTGACCCCTATGAAATTGCTATAAAAACATACAATATCTGTGATGGTAAATCCATATATATATGTTACTGTATCTCGTATTTTAATAGTATAAAAACCCACAACCAAAGAAAGATGGTGCTTGCATAAAACAGATGGTCGCTTGAGCAGATTCGACTGTAAATATTTAAAAAGCGTAAACAAATTATATTCATACATTTATCTCAAATTATATTCATACATTTATCTCTGCATTTGTAAATGACCATCTGTTTTATGCGACCACTTTTCATTCCTTTCGGCGTTTTTACTATGTATTTAACTGTATTAAGAGACCATCTGTCTAACGCGTCCAGCGACCACTGAAAATGTCCCCAAAATAACGTTAAACAATCCATTTGATACATTTTAGCGACCATGTTTGACGAAAATAAACCAAACAATCGTTGAATTTGAGCACCAAGTAATTTTAACAGTCTGTTCCTTCATGAATTAGGAAAATATAGCATTATATTATACTGGAGTTGGGAAAATTTTCCTTTTTTTCTCTTCATTTTGGTGGAAAAGAAAACAATTTTTGCAAGCAACCTATATATTTGGCTATAAACTAGGCAAAATGTTTGTATTTATGATTTAAAAATACATCCTGTGATTTTTGTGTTTCCTTACATTTGTTATATTTTTTACATTTTTCTGCATCTGTTTTTAAAGTTTCAAGACAGTAAATGTACAGCTGCTCAAGGAACGCTCGACTACAAAGGAGACGATTACACCGCATCACTTACGGTTGGAAATTTAGACATTATAAATAACTCGGGTAAGACCAGTTTTGGAACAGAGAACAGTTCAGCATTAATTTGTTTTCTTTTTAAACTTCAGCACTTTGAGTTCTTTACATATTTCTATCCTTCCTGTACACAGAATATAATAGGAATTTACAAAACATTGAACTTCAAAATAGTTAAAATATGAATTTCTTTTTTTTTAGCTCGCCTGGTTCAAAGGGACGGGACCATGGTGAGCTTATGCTATACCGCAGCGTCCGTTGTCCATTCGTCAACTTTTCCTTTAAAACGCTACTTGTCCTGAACGGCCAAGTAGATTTTAACTAAATTTGGTCTGGAGCATCCTTAGGCCAAAGGGACTCAATTTTGTATAAACGGTGGGTGTGGTCCCATGGGGGCAGAGGGGTGGGGCCCAATAGGGGAAATAGAGGTAAAACCTTTAAAATCCTTTTTCTGACGTAGGGATTAAGGGATTTTATCCCAATTTGGTCTGGAGCATCCTTGGGCCAATGGTGGGTCTGGCCCCCCTTGGGGCTGAGGGGTGGGGCCCAATAGGGGAAATATAGCAAATTCTTTAAAATCCTAATTCTGTAGGAATGAAAGGATTTGTTCCATATCTGGTCTGAAGCATCCTTGGGTAAAAGGGGAACCAATTTTGTATAAACTGGGTCTGGCCCCATAGGGGCCTGAGGGTTGGGGCCCAATAGGGGAAACATAGCAAATTCTTTAAAATCCTTCTTCTTCTGTAAGGAATGAAAGGATTTATTCCATATTTAGTCATAAGCATCCTTGGGTTAAGGGGAACCAATTTTGTTTAAACCGTGGGTCTGGCCCCATATAATAAACACAAAATTATTTAAAAAAATAAATCTTGTTACCTACCTACCTACCCTAAAAAAACATTCCAACATGTGACTGGAAACATATTTTTTTGTCTGGTCTTATAGAACTTTTGTACAGATCTAACAAGAGTTTTCTAATTTGTACATAAATTTATGTATGATTAAAAAGTGAATTGATTTTATGTGTTGCAGGTATAGCTATAACGCAGTATCTACAGACAGTGACGTCACGGTTAGCACTAGGAGGAGAACTAGTGTATCAATACGGTCCCCAGATTCCCGGCAAACAGTTCACAGTCCTGTCACTAGCAGCACGGATATCAGGTACACTATAGATATATGTTCTCTCCCACCATTTACACAAAATTATCTTCTGTTCTACCTGTTCAAATTTCCCTGTATCATGTGATAGGTTTATGAATTAATATAATTCTTAGTATGCTTTATCCCCTACTGAAAATTCACATTGTCATTTGAAAACGTGTATCATCTGCATGGAAATTAAATGCCTGAGGCATGATTCAGTCATGATCTAGCATTATCGGTCCGTGAAGTAATAACTGTTCTTTAATAACCTTAATATGCCTTTATCGCTGGAAATTAAAACGCTGTACAAGAGATTTATGATTTCGTGTTTAGAGGAAGTGGTGATTAGAAAAAAAGTCGTGTTGGGTTATGTTGTCTATGATCAAAATATTTGCAGCTCTCACTTTAGCCCTTCTGAAATAATTGGACTGGTATGTCAAGATTTTTTCGTTGTTCATTACTTCAGTCGAAAACGACATATATAGTGAAAATAAACTTAGTATAAATATCCAACTAGTTGTGAAAGTATGTTTGATGTGGTTTGATGATAATTTTATAAAATTTCTGCAAGAACATATTGCCGCTGCGGCCTCCCTCCACACCCCCACACCCCCCCCCACACACACACACCCCAAAAACATTTCCAGTGGGGGAAGTGGGGGAAATCTCCTTCATTAGCTTCTCAGAAAGTTGGCAGGTCTCAGATGTATAGCTAAATTGTCTTTGTTTTTACAGGGGAGAAATGGCAGTTGACTGGAAACTATTGTCCCACAGGTGGTGCTATGCACGCCTGTTACCACCACAAAGTTAGTGATCAACTTCAGGTAGCCGCCGAGGTGGAGACTAGTATTGCCAGTAGAGAGAGTGTGGGAACAATAGGATATCAGCTAGAAATACCATCTACCAACGTAACGTTCAAAGGTACGAGTTTCTACTGTTAAAAATGTGCAAATAGAGCATTCCCAGCCAGTGGTAGTTGGATTTAATGTTCTGTTTTCCTAACTGGGTTTTAGATGTTCAATATCTACATTATGATGAGATTTTAGATGTTTGACATCAAAATTATGACAAAGTTTAGATGTTTAATATCAAATTACAATGAGAGTTTAGAAGTTCAATATCAAGTTTATGATGATGTTCATTTCCAAACCAGGTTTTAGATGTTCAGTATCAAAATTATGGTAAGGTTTTAGGTGTTCAATATCTGAGTATTGATGATGTCAATATTCATGCACTGATCAATTTTCCACTGTAAAATACTACTTTGAGACGTAAAGCTCATGTTGACTTTTTCATATTTTAGGCCAACTGGACACCAACTGGTCTGTAGGTGGGACAATGGAGAAAAAGTTAATGCCACTTCCCTTCACCTTTGCCCTCAGTGGCATGGCCAATTTTGCGAACATACAGAAACCTCAGTACCGTTTCGGTATAGGACTGATCGTGGGATGAATATTCTGTCCAAGTGATATAGACTTGACAATTTCATTTATTCATTGATAGTGTGATATTTGTAACCATCATGAAAATGCTGAACAAGACGCCGGTGTATCCGTCACATCAGAATTTAGTCTTTAGAGATGCCGTGGGTGTGAGTTGTTGGTACGAGTGTGATGTCAATCTTTATGCATTGATAAACCCTGCTCTTGTGTCATTTTTCACAATGCCTCTGTTAAATAGTTGACGTGAAAAATGACTGGAGTTACACTCGTGCCCATGGACGCACAGTGTTTTGAGAAATAGCTGTTACATGTTCTTGGTAAGTAAGCACAGAGTTTCGTGGAGTTAATTAGTTTCACTGAAGATCTGTATGCACCTTTGACCCCGAATTTGAAAATCTGGTGACATTAGTGAAGATCCTGCAAGAACGGTTATGTTAGGAAATCAAATTTGGTTCAAGTACAAGCAAAAGGTCTCACACCCAGAACGTTTTTAGAAGACCAATCATGACTTGTGGAAGGTCCTTCTTTTGAAGTCATTTTCTCTGCTGATTAAATCACAAATACTATGCACACACAAAATCTGCTTGTTGGGTCCTAGATACTGATTAATGATCGCCACACTAGTGCCAACTAGATACTGATTAATGATCGCCACACTACTGCCAAATGACTGAATTACAAATTAGTTATTTACTTTATTAAATCATTTCTTATAAGAATCCTGTACTTTTGGAACATTTTTAACAAAATAATGAAAATTGATTAACAAAACCCTGCATGTCGACGTCATTAATAGACAAATGTGTTAAATTTTCATCATTATTTTGACATTTGAGCGAATATATATGTTATATATATGAAATATCCTCAGTGCTTGCTTACAACTGCAGAGTACAAAATACAGAGTAGGAATCTATAGTTTATACCAGAAAATGTTTTCTTTTTTCGATGTTTAAATAGTCACTGCCACAGTTCTTATTCAGGGATTTGTATTTTTCTGAATGTTTGATTACATATTATGTTCTTGTTGGGGTAAGTGCGAAGAAACCTTTGTTCAGAGATTCTTTCAGTATCTAAACCATTATCTGAAGGAGGAAAACCTGATGTTAACTATGCTTAGATCAGGAGTGTATTTGTGTTGTAACTTGTATGCAGTCCTTGTTTATAGGTGTGTTTTGTAAGTAGAGCAAGTGTGACCTGCATGGTTGGTCTGGACACATTCTGAATAGCTGTATTTAACAAATCGAAGTTCTGGCTGCATGAATTGTGAAAATATATTTAAATTTTGGACAAACAAGATTTCTGTTGCTAGCTGTAGAATCAGGGTTGTGTGAGGACTGGATTCGGTCGAACACAATAAGGTATGATGTGAGCACGTGACGTCACAATGGAGATATAATTTTTTTTAAATGTGTTGTTATGCATGCTAATAACTTTCACCAGTTGTCCCGTCATCTGTGGACAGTGAGCACTTCCTTCATGTATACCTATATACAAACAATATATGAAAACCCTAAACTAACAAATCATCTGGCCCCAGGTTTCGCGATCATTCCTTAGTATTTCCTTATATGCCATTATGGGTTAAATTAAAGGAAAAAATCGTCATTAATGTATTTTTGTGAAGTCCAGCCTGATTTTAGTCTTAAATCTGGGATGGTAACCTGTTAAATCAATCTAGAACAAAAAGTGCTGAGGGGTAATATAGCAGAATCTATACAAACATCTTATACATAACACCAGGTACTGGTTTTTGATAAAACATGAAATCTAACTCTAAATCAGAACATAATTTAATAGCAGAGGAGGAATTTATTATTATACCTACAGAATTTCACACAACAGCTATTTATATAGAAAAGTTTCCTATACGGAACCTGATGATTTTTGTATTATAAATGCATACTTTTGTAGTAGAACACTGTTACAGTTCAGCTTATTTCTCTGTACATATTAAAAGTGTATATGTGTGTGAATGATTGTGAGAGGTGGCCAAATTAAAAGTCATAAATCATCTTCAGTTTTGTTTGTATTTTTTTATATCCAATATAGAGAGAAAAAATAGAAGTCAATGAGCTAGTATCAACAGTAAAATCCCATATAACACCATCCTCAATACTGCAGGGATTCCGATCACTGGCGCTCTCTGCACCTCTGAAAATATGTCGTTGCAAAACTGAAGGCACAAAGATAGCTATCTGATTGGTCAGGGTAAAATAACTGTCGAATCCTCAGGCCGATACCTGTCCTTTGAATACTATTACAGTGGATTGACACCCGACTTCAAAACCAGTGAATTCTTAACGTTGTGAGACTGCGAAATTCTTCTGATGTACATGAACGAATCAAACAAGTCTTGTTTCATCAACAGTGCACACTGAGCCTTCAATTTTGCTATGACATATTTACAGGGGTGCAGAGAGCGTAATCTGTAGAGTATCAAGGATGATATAACACTGGGTTCTTGCAAACAAGTCTATGCTAGGATACTAGGGTAAGGGAGTTATTTTAATATTGTCATGATGCTGACAAATCATGGAGTGATCTCCTTTATGGGGAATCGGAAAAACACGGAGCAGTTATGAAAAGTAACAGTGGGCAACATTTTTGTATCAATGAAAGGGGAACAACTCTGCAGAATTGTTGACGACTTCGTTATTTACAGGCTGATGTGGAATTACTCGTGTTAAATTTTGTCATACCTGAACCAATGGAACAATAGCACACTATATTTATGTCCTTAAATAACCTTAGCTGTCAATAGGACATTAAACAAAGTTAAACCAAACGAACAATGGCATTCCACACTATGGCAAGTTAAAATTACTGTAACACAGCTAGTCCTCTTTGAAAACACCACACAGAAAAGTATTTGAATTCACTAAGCAATTTTAATCATCACTTTTAAATATATTTAATTTTACAATCAATAACAACAAGATAATAAATATACACTTTTCTTGTCGAACAACATTCTAAATAATTTCATTCTGATATGTGATGCAAATATTTTACACCATATTCTTTTCATAACAAACTTTTGTGGATTCAGTCATAAACCACACAGGTGGAGACTGTTTTTTAAGGTTATTTTCCGAAATTGTCCAAGGACGGAGAAACATTCTACCCCATAACCAAGACACACATTAGAAATATACAGTGGAACTTGTTATTCCAGATGATTTTATATATTGACCATATTTGGTATGGCTTTTAACTTCTACAACCCCACCAAATTCTTTTAAATGAGCGATAATATCAATGAGATGGTTTTATGCAATAATGCCGTCTACTTTGCTTACATTGATCCTTTCTGAAGATTGGCCTTTCAATTTATCTAAGAAAAGTGTACAGACTAAAAAAACAAATTCAAAGAAGAGATGACCAGACAAAATCAAATGGGGATTCCCAAATTTAATCCAGTTTACATGTGTGGGCCATCATCAGAACAATGATTCTTACGCTCTGATGACCGCCCACCAAGTGGGCCGAAATGTGTAAACTGGCTTGAATTTGCCGAACTCCCCATTTGATGTTGTCTGGTCATCTTGTCTTTGAATTTCTATTACTCTTATGACCGGACGAGTGAATCCCATTGAGGAAACCAGTGGGGTACACAGAACTTCACTGAACATCCACTAGCCGGTGTTGGATCTCACTTTCCCCTTGTATAAACTAAATACAAGTTCATATATGGGTTATATGACGACTCACTTTTAACTAGAATGGTAAGCCACAGGCATACTAATATAATACCCCTCATTGACCTTTGATATCTTAATTTCAAGAAGCTGTTATTGTCTCAGCCAATCAGAGCTGTGGTTACAAAGAGAAACTATGACCAAAAAATCGTCGAAACAGAAATGTCATTTCAGGTACTTAACTTCTTCGTATATATATAGTTTGTCCAAAATAGCGTAATAGCAATGGAGGACAAGGGTTCATCCACAAAAAGACGGACAAGCTGTTTCCAGTAGATGTCCCCTAACTTTCTTTAGTTAATTTCTATGAAATGAAAAATCCCCAAAAAAGTATTAACCCTTTCACCCCCATCTAACTTAATAGACTCTACCATGTACTGATATGGATGAGTCCATTATGGTCTACAGTGTTGAAAGGGTTAATACAGGTACAATTCAATTGTAATGCACTGTACTGCGTAAAGTCGGTATTCCAAGCCACCATCAATGCCTAACTGAAGCAGCTCAGAGCTTTAACTTAAACAGACGTACAGAATAACTATTAATTAAATATTTTTAATGCTGGAGAATTGACATGTGCTCAAATAAACTTTAATAAATGATATTCCTTCAATTTTTTAAAGAAAATAACATATTCCAGATTAATTAAGGAAATCATTAAGTATTGTTGAACAAAGTTCCACTGTACACATATATCACGTTTATGTTAACACGTTTGGCACTCCGTTGGACAAACAGTATTACGTACACAACAAATACTGAATAAAAATATTTTTTGTTCCTTTACCATAAGCACATCTTTTATAATTTGTAGTATTTTATTCATGATAATATGCTAGTTATTATCTATGATAATATGCTAGTTATTATCTTTAAATTGGCAAAGCCAATATTTTGTGTTTTCATCCTAAAATGTTCTGCACATTGGCCGATTTTACAAAACTAGTGAATCTGTATCCAGAAATTACCAACATGTATCCAAAATTCTGAATTACTTGAATATTGAAATTATCTTCCCTTTGTAGTTTCTATTTAATGCTCAAAATAAAAACTTATATGCTAAATATTAATGTACATATTAAATTAATGATTCAGACAGAACTGCTACAATATAAAATACCGATATCAGGTACCCTCAATACTGTCTCGGGTACAAAACCTAAACTAAACAAAATACTGATTAATCAACTTGCGGAGAAAATAACCTGCAAGTTTTTGTATATAAATAAATAATCTGTCCTTCATTTATGAAATGCAATTAGGTTATACAATATTTAGAATTATATTTATTTTTTTAACTCATTCACCCTTTTAATTTTGTAATGAACTATTCCAACCATTAAATTGGAAGAGTTCAAATGTGTCTCCAGGGGTGAATGACTTAACATATACCCGCTGTAGCTCGTTTGTAAAATGGATAAAATTAAATAGAATGTGTTGAAAATCCTTTATGTATTTCGATGATAAACAATGTCTTAAGCAACAAAGCACCGTTTTATGTGTAATTTCTGTTAAAGTTTATGAATAAAAGGGGGATAACTACATTTAAAACAATATTACTGACTATATACAACAAATATATAAATAGAATAAATACATTGACAATTCAGAAGGCAAAACCAGAAACGAAGTTCTCAGGCAAAATAAAAAAAAACAAAGTAAGGCCATATAAAAGCATATACATGAAGGTCAAATAAAAACGTACACATTTTCCTAATACATTCTTTGAAATTTTAAATTCCCACTGCGGATGAACAGTCAAAATTTTTGTGGACACAAAGAAACAATTAAATCAACAAGCTTTTTAAAAAAAAATAAAAAATTTAAAAGTAGTTATAGGTAATATTATTTGTGCATCCCTAACTTCATACTTCATTAAAAAAAATATGCAAAATGACACTAGTTACAGTGTAGTTTAATATTTCTAATAATAATTTTCAACTTCAATAACTCTCAAAACAGAAAACCAAGAAACTTTGTATCAACGAAAAAGGCTAGTTGTTAGTGTAAAAACATAAGAGGAAAAAACATCATCAACACTTAAATAAGTTATTTAATAATAACACAAAAATTAGCAAAACGTTTTAAACGTTGTTTATATATCGATTTATAGACCTATATATTTTAAGCCAAGAACTTCTGAGTAAGCATAAAGATATAAGTAAGTAAAAAGGAAAACAAACTAACATTTGGCCTTTTTGAAGACACTAGCATGAGCAAAAACAATAAAATCTTAAAACATGTAATAAAACATTATACGGTACCAAGATTTCAAATAAAAACTGTTTGCAGGGGAATATATGTTGACGTTGCATGGTGACATTGAAATAACAAATCTTATCTCTTCTATAATACAATTTTACTTGTTTTGATTTGAAAAGGAAAAGCATGAATAACACAACAGTGTTACGGAAAAAATGCCCAGTTTTGAATTTTGGTGTCACTCCTTTGTAATCTTAATATGACAAATATCTGTCCAGCGATTGGTCAGGTTTTGTTTTTGCCTGGAACCAATCAAATAGCTAACCGTGTGCCTTTGAATTTGTCGTGACTTATTTCAGGAATGCAAACAATGCAAATGAGCGTAACCCCTAGAATGTTTGAGGGTGGATATGATAATTTAACTCTAGAGCTAAGTCATTAGACAATATAGCCCAGAGGTAAGTTATCAGAATGTCAAACTATGAATATCTCACTGGAAATACAGAATACCTGTAATAGTTATACATGTTCCAGTGCTAAATCGACAGAGCTACCTGAAACTCTCACTGGAAATACAGAATACCTGTAATACATGTAGTTATACATATTCCAGTGCTCAATCGACAGAGCTACCTGAAACTCTCACTAGGAATACAGAATACCTGTAATAGTTATACATATTCCAGTGCTCAACCACAGAGCTACCTGAAACTCTCACTGGGAATACAGAATACCTGTAATAGTTATACATATTCCAGTGCTCAATTGACAGAGCTACCTGAAACTCTCACTGGGAATACAGAATACCTGTAATAGTTATACATATTCCAGTGCTCAATCGACAGAGCTACCCGAAACTCTCGCTGGTAATACAGAATACCTGTAATAGTAATACATATTCCAGTGCTCAGAAATACTTGAAAAGTTTTAAAACTTTCTCTCAAATAACATTTTGAATATTTGCATTTAATGACTTGTTACATGTAAGATAGTTAAGCTTTAAAGAACAGGGCCCAGCGGTTCTAGGAAATTAGATTGCTATTGATAAAAAAATATTAAAAGATTGTTAAATTCATATAACATTTTCTTGTCTAGGGGGAAGACTACTGTAGGCATTTGTTAAGTGCAAGAATTGAGGAAAAAATCATGAAAATTTGTGTTTGTAATAACATGTGCTATTATATGTAAAACATAACATAATTTCAAAATACAATACCACTTAAGTACCAATACAATTTAAGGTGAAAAATATAAAAACAAAATTTACAGAACACAAAAAACTTGGATAAGCGCACTTCATTCAAATATAAACATGTACAACATTGTTTGTTCCGTTTAATATAACTTATCTACTAAAACAATACTAGTTTAACATATACAGATTCTTTCTACATAAAACTTGAGAAATAATTTTCACAGAATCTCAAAAAGTTGTTCTTTTTACACAGCTATTGCACAATGAATAAAGGTGTTTGTTCTTATTTATTTTTTTATTTTTTTAAGGACACAGGTACTTTCATTAACCCATTCACCCCTAAAGTCACATTTGAACCTTACCAAATCAAAGACTGGGCAAGTCTAGTTTAAATATGTAGGGGTGAATGAGTTATGGACGTAGATATGAAATCTATAGGATTTTTGTCTACAGTATACAAGCCGTGTTTATCCTGTCAACATCAGTCTATGTATCCTAGTAAATGTATCTATAGCCAGAGTGTTTTAGGGGAGAGATTCACCATTTTCTATACAAATTAATGTTGCAGAAATGCAACTGCTACCAATCGAACTTTTGCTGTGAATGAAAGTGAATGAATAATATATAAAGGCCCCGCTTTATATACACTGTATAATAAAATCTTCGAGTTTTCGCGAAAACTGATCTTCGAGACAGCATTTTGTACAAATGAACCTCACTTTGCCATAATATTTGAAAAATTTGAATTCCCACCTTTCAAGTGAAAATATTTATCGCACAAAAAATTAATTTGCTGTATGACCAATTTGAGATACATCAACTGGCCAAAATCCAACTAGCTCATAACATAACACAGATATTAAACTTATTCATAATATACCTTAAACTATGTTAAAACCAATAACTCTTATTTACAAAGCAAACAATTTTTACTAAAATAAACATGAGACTGAGACCTTTTCTCAAATGAGACATTGTAGTATATGTCTATATTAAATGAAAAAAATAGATTCTGTATACCATGAAACATTTGTGGTTTATAAACATTTGTGGTTTTCGTGCAGGCTACATAACCACGAAAATAAATACAACACTTTTAATTGATATACTTTACCACTTTTTGTTTATATGGGATATCCGAAATAGTTTGTACCACGAAACGATCTGAATGGCATCAAGCCATGAAAGAAAGTACCCACGAATAATTTGTGTTATACAGTATACAGAAGACAATGAGATTCATAATGCAGTTTTAAAGCTTTAGATATTGTATATTGTACTTGCGTGCATTGGTACTCAATGTATTAATTAAACATAGCTATACCATCATTACATAAAATTAACGAGACAAACATCTATATATAACATTTATTTGAGACATTAACATTGACAAACCTCTTTAACTCATTCACCCCTGAAGACACATTTGAACTCTTCCAATTCAAAGGTTGGAATAGTTCAATATGAAACTTCAGAGGTGAATGAGTTAAGCTGTTCAAAGTATTGTTCACTCCACAATACATGACACAAACTTGAATATTTCATCCATTCAATCTGATTATAACAATTTGATCTCTTTTCCGCTATTCAAATGTTCAAATTTTACATGAACTTGCCTTAACCCATTCACCCCTAAAGCCACATTTGAACCTTACCAAATCAAAAACAGGGCAAGTCCACTTTAAAAATGTAGGAAACAAACTTTTGGTCATGTCAACCCGACCTTTAAAGTTTAGTAGTCAACATAACATTTAACCTCTTGCAGTCAACATGACCTTTGACCTTATCTTTCATCGTCAAGTTTTTTATAACATCAAATTGAACCTATTATACACTGAAAATGATGGTGTATATCACAAAGAGAAATATAACTTGCACCAAAGCTCAAGGATTGATGCTTATAAAAGCTAAAAATGTCAAATTTTCTTTAATACAAAATAATTTCGAAAAGTTGTATACAAGCATGCACACCAAACAAATTTAAAACTCCCATATATTTAAAACAGCAACAAGTTTAGACAAGGAGGACTATAAAGCTAACAATGCGAAAATAATCCTGCCTTGAATCTTTAATTTATGGATTTGGATTTTTTTTTATATTGTTTTCGTTCTAAGATGGAATTAACATTCAGGCAGTTTTTGTTTATGTGTGTTGAAACAATCGTCATCAGGAACAAGTTTTCGATCATAAAAAAAATGTTCATCGGAAAAAACCTGCAAACCTCTGCTACTGCTCAATGCAGTCTTTATTTGAACACCTGCAGTTACTTTTTCTATTTTTCCTTGCCAAGTGACTCGTCATATGACATGGATCCTTTCCAGATACACTCAAGCTCTCCGATAAGTGTTTCGTAACGATAAGCCACGCGAATATCTGCGACATTTGTTCGGCTGACGTCATTCCCGGCTACACCTTCTTTTGTGCAATTCAGGCCCAACCAGTGTTTCTTCACCTGAAAAGTCAATAGGTAACTTTTGAGAGAAAAGTTGATATCAAAACAGGTATATTTACATTCGCTCTGCATCCTTCCCTTGCAATGCATTGAGAAGGCAAATGCCGTTATGAGACAATAACAACATTTGCGATTGTAATGTCATCAATATATTTTGTAACGTCTGTAATTTCACTGTTGTCAACCCTTTATTTGCTGTTCAAAGAACTGGTCGCAATAACTTAATTAAGCATAACTACTCTATCAAATTGTAAATATAAATGACGAATATTTTAGCAAATATTTTTATTGTCCTATGACACACATTTCTATTGCTATTGCTGACAAACAAACTTACATAAAGCCCTGCCAGGCTTTATCAAGTTTGTCATCAATAGAAATGTGTGTTCTCATAGGACCATAACAACATTTGCTAAAACATGAATACCTTAAGTAACAACTGTAAAACTTGTATTTCTCTAGTATTTTATTTCATCCTTCATTTGAAAAAAAGCCCTGTTACTAGATATATCACTGTTCTTACCATGTACATGTAATCGTAATTGAGACACTCTGTGACAAGGGGGAGGAATGACCCTAGGGCCAATCATAATAGCATGTTTTTGTCTCTCCATCACTTAGGGAACTGTAAATGTATAATGTGTGGAGATCTCAAATGTTTTCAAGCTATGAACCAGGGATTAAGTCCCAAGGGGTAGGGCTGGACCCATAGGCCAATTCTGGTAGCACCAAATGTGGTTGTCTAATGATGTTGATGGATTTAGGGTAGAGATCTCAGCTGTTTCAAAGTTATGTCAACTTCGTAAACTTTTCCCATGGGGCTATATATGTCCCTCTTCTCTCACAAGGTTGAAATACAGCCACACCCCTCTACAACGGAAACATCCTCCCTTTATATAGACTGAGTTCCCGTTGCCCAAGGATGCATTAAATTTCTGGTACCCTTCATCGTGTAAAGGGAGGATTTAAAAAAATTACCAATAAGCCCATGGCTTGTAATGTAATGAGCCCACATTAACTTATTGCAGTCAGCGAAAATTTAAAATACCAGCAAATTATGCTATTTTGAGAATCTGCGTTAGGCCCCCCCCCCCCCCCTGGGGTGAAATGCAGGATAAATACGGTGGTAAGACGTACATCATGTCCAAAGCCACTCATCTGTACACTGTTTTTGGCCATCTCACACATATCACAGGAGCTGAGTTTCCACACCTGGGCAGCAATACTGTACTCCTCCATCAATGCTTCCTGTACGAAAATTAATTAAATGATATTAAAATACTGCAGAATTTTGTATTCGAACAATAGAAAATGTGGGTATGGAGGGTTTGAACTATCACTAGACAGAAAATGATTGTTTTTATTGTTCAAAAAGTGTGTTCAAATTATCTGCCTCTTCGAACTGATTTGAGGTTTACCAAAACTGATATTAGAAAATAAGTTCATCAGAGATCTCGTCAGTCCAGAGAAGTCTGCAGTAATGTAACGCCTAATGTATTTACAGGCGTCAGTGTAACTTCAAAGCTTACATCAAGTCTCAGCAAGTCTATTAATAAATTCAGTGATAAAACAAAGGCATTTCATACATAAACCTTGTTATAGTGACACCACTTCCCAGCCCACTTTTGACATCATAAAGGAGTTTGGCAAAGGATGCATCAAAAGAAATCGTGAGGAAAAGTCGAATGCCTAACCATACCTACACTGGTTGTAAGCAAGGTTGCAATGGAAAGGAGTGGCATTAACCCTTTCACCACTGTAGACCAAAATGGACTCATCCAGATCAATGCATAGTAGAGTCTACTAAAGTTACATAGGGGTGAAGGGGTTAAATTGATGTTTTCCTGTGAAATGTTTATGCAAAGGTATCCTTTGATTCAAACCACGTCATCTTTTGATATCCTTGCCTACATCTGCATGTGGTTTACAAATTGATGGAACAGGTAGGTGAATTTGTAGAGGATCCATTGAAGTCGGGGAAATGTATACCAGCATGGCTACTTTTGTCTGGTTTAAACGTATGTTATCAGGTTTCTTTTGTGAAATGGAACTGAAGTGGAAAACTTCACCTTTGAGAAGAGGAACTTAAGCGGAAAACGATACCTTCATGAAGTGGAACAAAGGTTGAAAACTTTTGTGGAACTTCAATGGAAAAATATACTTTAGTGAAGTTGTGGAACTTCAATGGAAAAATATACTTTAGTGAAGTGGAACTAAGTAGAAGATTTACCTTTGTGAAGTGGAACCAAGTGGGAAGTTTACCTTTGTGAAGTGGAACCAAGTGGAAAGTTTACCTTTGTGAAGTGGAACCAAGTGGAAATTTTACCTTTGTGAAGTGGAATTAAGTGGAATCAAGTGGAAAGTTTACCTTTGTGAATCTGAACTAATTTGAAAGTTTACCTTTGTGAAGTGGAACCAAGAGGAAAGTTTACCTTTGTGAATCTGAACTAATTTGAAAGTTTACCTTTGTGAAGTGGAACTAAGTGGAAAGTTTACCTTTGTAAAATGGAACCAAGAGGAAAGTTTACATTTGTGAAGTGGAACTAAGTGGAATACATTACTTTCATGAAGTAGATATGAAGGGAAAACTTTACTTATGTAAAGTGAAACTAATTTGAAAGCTCCACCTTAGCTTTGTGGAGTGGAACTAAGTAAAAAATATCTCTTTAGTGAAGTGGAACTAAGTGGAAAACTTTACCTTTGTGAAGTGGAACTAAGTGGAAAGTTTACCTTTGTGAAGTGGAACTAAGTGGAAAGTTTACCTTTGTGAAGTGGAACTGAAGTGGAAAGTTTACCTTTTTGAAGTGGAATCAAGTGGAATACATTGCTTTCATGAAGTAGATATGAAGGGAAAACTTTACTTATGTAAAGTGAAACTAATTTGAAAGCTCCACCTTAGCTTTGTGGAGTGGAACTAAGTAAAAAATATCACTTTAGTGAAGTGGAACTAAGTGGAAAGTTTACCTTTGTGAAGTGGAACTAAGTGGAAAGTTTACCTTTGTGAAGTGGAACTGAAGAGGGTCATCAGTGGAGAGAGAGACGTTCAGTCCACGGGCGAAATACTCTGGCAGTGGGTTACGAGTGTAGTTCAGGAAGAGAGAGTTGTTGCTCAATGGTGACATGGCAATTCCTATCTGGGCCAGATAGTACAGGTACTGCAGCACAGGAACCTATCAACAGAGATTGTCTTAATGTCAATACAGATTGTCTAAATGTCAATACAGATTGTCTAAATGTCAATACAGATTGTCTAAATGTCAATACAGATTGTCAAAATGTCAATACAGTCTGTCATAATGTCAATATATATTGTCAAAATAGGTTGTCAAAATGTCAACAAAATTTGTCAAAGTGTCAATATAGATTGTTTAAATGTCAATAGTTTGTCAAAATGTCAATATAGATTTTCAAAATATAATGTCAATACAGATTGTCAAAATATATTGTCAAAATGTCAATACAGATTGTCAAAGTGTCAAAATGTCAATAGCTTGTGAAAGTGTCAATACAGATTGTCAAAATGTCAATTCAGATTGTCAAAGTGTCAATATAGATTTTCAAAATATATTGTCAAAATGTCAATACAGATTGTCAAAATATATTATCAAAATGTCAATACAGATTGTCAAAGTGTCAATAGCTTGTCAAAGTGTCAATACAGATTGTCAAAATGTCAATTCAGATTGTCTAAGTGTCAATATAGATTGTCAAAATGCCAATAGCTTGTCAAAATGTCAATATAAAATGTTTAAATGTCACTTCAGTCTGTCAAAGTGTCAATACAGATTGCCAAAATGTCAATATAGTTTGTGTAAGTGTCAATATAGTTTGTTTAAGTGTCAATATATATTGTCAAAATATCAGTATAGGTTATCAAAATGTCAATATAGATTGTCAAAATATCAGTAAAGGTTATCAAAATGTCAATATAGAATGTTAAAATGTCACTACAGTCTGTCAAAGTATCAATACAGATTGTCATAATGGCAATATAGATTGTTAAAGTGTCAATATAGAATGTTTAAATGTCACTACAGTCTGTCAAAGTATCAATACAGATTGTCATAATGGCAATATAGATTGTTAAAGTGTCAATATAGATTGTCATAATGTCAATATACTGTAGATTTTCTATACGAGAGATACAGATTGTCATACAGATTGTCTTTATATCAAATACAGACGTTCAATATGTAAAACAGATTGTCTGCATGTTAATTACAGATTGATGGTATCAAGTATAGATTTTCAAAATGTCAAATAGAGAATGTCAATATTTCAAACATTTCAAGTTATCTAAATCTAAATCTAAATTTGTCAAAACAGAGAGTCAATTCATCAAATACAGATGGTCAATATGTTAAACAGCATGTAAAATACAGATTGTCAATATCAAATATTGATTGTCAAAATGTAAAATGTAAAATGCAGATTATCAAAATTTTGAACATTGGTTGTCAATATATCAAATACAAATTGTCCATAGGTCAAACCCAGATTGACTAGTATATGACATAAGTAATATGAAATACAAACATCATTCAACAGAACAACAGAACAACAGTAGTCCTACTTCATTGAACATGGTTAAAAGATACTGTATCACACACATACTTGTCAATACAACATCAAAACAGGCTACAAAGCATTGATTGCATTGATGGCATTAACATTTTCTTGTTTGAATGAAGTTTGTACCTTTCTGAGCATGAGTCCATGTGATATGTTCTCAGCCAACATAAAACCAGAGACGAGATGTGTGATGTTGCCTGCCTCCCCACAGTGAGGTCTCAGGTGGAACATGCCCATTCCTCGTGACCTAAAACAACAAGCAACCGTCAAATAAAGGCATTAAGGATCCCCATACCGCTTCCAAAAATTGTGACTTCGCATTGAAAACGGTCTTATGACATGACTTAGCTTTGATAAATCAATTCTGAAAATGAAACCATTTATTACATTTTTGCCAGTGAAATATTGGAATATATCAACTTGATAAAACTTACATTTTTCTCACTGTGACAAATATCAAAAATCATTTCTCAACAGTATCTTCTATTCGCTGCATTCAAAGGCAACAATTTTTTGTTCAGATTCAAATGAAACGACAGTAGAATAAGATGTTGTTATGGTAAATGTTTGGTACACACACATAAGTATTTACATAAATGTAAAATTAATAACATTTTTATAAGCAATCATACCAGAAAATGTCGGAATTTTATCGAGTATCCCATTCAAAATGGTGCACAGTCTTTTTTAATGCATTACATTTTCATGTTTTATGCTTTAACAAGGTTACCGCGAGCGGTATATAATACGCCCGTCACACATTGAATGAGCAGTTGTTTGTATGATTGAAATATATGAAGTATTTGTGAGTAATTGATATTAAAAGAGAAATCATTCAACATAACTGGTAGATCAATGAGTGCAATACAACATCATGGAACGCATGCATCGCATTAATGAAACCAAGGGTAATAACTCCA